CTTTACTCGCTGGCTTCTGCTTTCCAGAAACACTCTGATTGTCAAGTTTTGTCTCTTGCGTACAGGCACTCACCATTAATGTCCCGTTGGAGGTCTGCACGTCGTTAGGATTCACATACGGGCCCAGCGCAAGGGCTGCATCATCAGCAGAGCTCTTCTCAGTTTTATCCATCTCTGCCACATTCTCAGGTATGGGATTCTGAACAATGACAGCATCACCTGGCACACAGTAACCAGCATCACTGGCACCACAGTATACCCAACATGTCCGCTACATATGCTATCGTCGAAAGATGCAGACTGGCCTATTTCAACATTTTGTGCGTAAGAGGGTCCTGGAAGCAATTCAATCTTGAAGCCTCCAATTGTGACTGTCAATCGTCTCAATACAACCGTAGGTTTCAGCCATACTCCACTGTCAAGATCATTAACATTAATACGCCCTCCCAGAGTTAATTCTTTCTTCAGCTGGCTGCCTTTAACTCCTTTCTCAATAAGAAATGACTTCTGTAGCCTGTTCGCTGGTTTCCTTCCTGGCCGTCCTCTGGCCATAGTGTTGGTGGATGTGTTAGCAGGTTGTGGACCGCTGCTTTGTTCTGTTGTAGTAAGAAGAAACAAAACACAGAAAAAATAAGTCACCTCATCATCAATTTGAAGGAATCATGTGGTGGAAATAGGACCATAAATGACCATCAGCTTACCGCTATCTAAACTGCGTGTACGTTTCTTCTGCTTGGAAACCGGTCGCTTGACTTGTGTGGTTTCTACAACGGGCAGTTCATTACTGAGACCAGTGGATGCTGGACCATCATCGAGACCTGCAACAGACAAATAAGTACATGTACCTTATCTGTTTGCGTATCAATGTGAGAGACAAATAATGTATTAAACAAATAACGCAATGCAACAGTTGAAAATGTGTCTTTTTAGCTGACCCTAACATATTTACAATTAAAATATATATTAAAAAAAGAAAAGAAAACATCATTCAACCACTACTGAATTTACCTCAGCTGCTGTATCTTTTCAACATTTCAAAACGTATTCACCAAGAACCATTTAGTGTCATGATTATTGCATCTTAAACACTCAAATAAAAATTTAAATGTGATATCTCATACAGCTGTTGACAGTGAAGATTTCCCCTACGTATCTAAATCTAAACTGAGTGTTTTGTTTTATCAACCAGCTAAAAAGCCAAAATAAAATCCAAAAAGGAGCAAAACCATAGCAGGGCAAAGGCAGTGCAGATGAACAAATGATGTTAGAAAGCTGTTAATGTTTTCCTTAAAACTTCCTATACCAAGTTTTCATTAAACACTTGTGTAGGGCCTTTATTGTGAACTATTGGCAGTAGCACTTTATCTATTAATGAAAGTTTGGAGTCAGTGCAAATACACAATTTTAAATATTAAAATATATAAATATAGTATTTTTACTGTCTATTTTCTCTGTTGACTACCTGTTGAGCCAGCAATCTGAAAAGTGGTGTCCTCATTGTCCAGCAGATTGAACTGAGAGCTTGCACATCCAAACATGGGATCTTTGTCACTGAGCATGTTCTTCAGTGAATCTTCCAGTTTGAGTCCTGACCCAAACTCATTACCAGCTTCACATTCCAAATTCTGACCTATTATGAGGGACTCATCCAACTGGTCACTGGGTATTAAATGGTTAAAGGTGTCCACAATATCCATGAATGCTGCTGCCTTCCTGCATCAAAACAACACAGACAGAATGTAGGGAAAACAGGTCAAATCACCCATTTTTCAATTCAGGCAAAATTGTTACTAATGCTTCCAGGCAGCTTTACATGTATATATATATATAACTTAAATGGGTTCAGGTGACCATCGTGGTCTAATCTGAGCAGATAGTGACTGGTTTCAAAGTCCGAATAAGTTTGACAAAACTTCTGGCAAGCACACTATTACCAAAAGCAACAGCAAAAAGTACTTGTTCATTGTCTGCTGCGGTGAACTGTTACATTAGAGACATCACTGTACATTAGATACATGTTAAAGTTGTTGGACAAGTGGGCACAGAGTGACACATTGCTTAAAACTCCCCTTCCATCAGCTGCAAATGCTAACTGCTTCGCTGTCCGGCTACGTTCAGCCGACGTCGATAGCGGTCTTAGTTTTTGGCCATTTTCGTGGGTCGTTCCCGCTTATATAGCCAAAAACTGCACGCCGCCAATAAGCTTAACGTGTGTGTATGTACGTACCAGAAAACTACTCCTCTGGCCAACTTGGAGAACCATCCAAGAGGCGAGGCTAAACGTTACACGACCAGCAAGATAACCTCATTTTAAAATCAACAAGCTAAGTTACAACTAGCAACACAAACTGGAGCAGGCCAGTGGCTGAACAATGCATTCACCATTAAACGCCACCTAAAGCTGTTAGCACACTGCTCTTCAAACGGGGTGATGCAATACCATGTAACACGACTTAATGTTTCTATAAAACACGGTGTCTGTGCGTGCAGTGTTTGCGGCTACTAACAACCCGCTGCAGGACGCAATCGGGTACGTTAGCAAGCTAAAGGTAACTTATGGAGGAAGTCACCACCCGAGGAAAACACACTTGTTTTTAAACCCTACCACTGTTCCTATGAGCAGCGTTTGTATAATAAACATCTGCGCCAGAAAAGCAAAAGACGTACTGCAGAAAATGTGTAAGTATGTATTTAGACACCTCGATGTTTAATCTGTCACACAGGCTAAGCTAGGTCGCATTAGCGTAGGCCTTAGATACCAAGTTTGTTTGTAGCCTAGCGGACGATACAGGATCACGCCCACATGCGTCTGTTCCACCACTTGCAGTTCGGATATTCGGACATATTTACTGTCATCTATAAGTGGTGTACAAGGCTCTTACCTCGCCCTCGCTGCAACGCTGTGTCCAACTAGTGTGAGGTTACATACTAGCACAGCTGCTCCCAGTAACTTCCTCTAACTCAGCCGTCATTCGTCCCGCTGCTGCAAAGCTGCTCGTCACGTGGCTTCTGTTTACAGGTAGCGTAGCAGCTGGTAGTGCAGACATCACACAACATCTGCAGCGTGGCTGTCACTCTTCAGGCTTCGCAAGTGAGAGCTCACAAGGAGGTTGAGTGTGTTGGAGAGAAAAGTGTGTTTTCTAACGCATTCGGCGGTCCCATGTAGAGGGGACTCTAAATGATATTAGATATACTTTCCAGATCCACCAGGGGGGAAATTGTTCTTTTCACTCTTTTTTTGTACACACACACATACACAGGCTGAAATGCACACTTCAGGCACTTGTGGACATGCAAAGCTGACAATGGCCGGCGCCCCATGAGCAGGTTTTGGGGTTAGGTGCACAGGAGGTGTCGCAGTGCACAGGAGGTGAAACTAGCACCTCTCCAGCTACCAGTTCACACTTCATATTTTGTGGTCTGTAGGACTTGAGCCGACGACCCTCCAGTTCCCAAGCCCTACGCACTGAGCTACTGCCGCCCCTAATTAATTCACATACAGTGAAATATTTGACACCCCCTTGCTTGGAAAGCAAATGTTTTGTTTTGTTTTTTATTTTAAAAAAATATAAAAGCTTGTATATAATAGGTTGCATGCACTTGGAATACCTGGGATTTTGTACCCTTGTAAACATGAGACAAAAAGGCAAGTCAAAGGTCCATATTAACACTGTGACAGGTCTTCTAAAATACTTTAGGTTCTTTTAGATTAAGTTCCATGTGATATTTCAGCCTGGAAAGCCTTCACGGAACAACGACACCCACAATCTACCTTTTTATTGTGAGATGAACACAAAAAAAATTTGAAATATGTAAATTCTAAACTTAAAAAGGTGTTAAACAAGGGTACTGCTGTGCTCTGAAAACATAAACAGGTCTGTCAGTGTGCAATAGCAGCATATTAACCAGAAATTTCAAAAACACTGGGTTACGGTCCCCTTCCAAAAGCAAATGAGAAACTACATTGGTGACATTTATTTTTGCCACTAAAGCTAACAATGGTATAATAACATATATTTGCAGCCCAGTTTATTTTTTTGTTTTGTTTTTATTATGTTGTCCTCAGAATCAGAAGTGGGCCTTAAGTAACAAAAGGTTGAGAACCACAGTCTTAAATCCCAGTGGCAGCACATAATCATACTATCTCGTTCTAATTCTGAATCAGCAAATTTGTATACAGCAACTATATCTCTGGGTGAGCAGCCATTGTTTCAAAGGATGAAGCGAGGCTAACAATGCCGCTGGCCAAATGAAGTGGAAGCTCATGAATGAGGCTTTTGTTACGTTAACAACCTCCTAACAGTCCATTGTTCTTGAAGTGCTTGAAGAGCACTGGGAATGAAAACCAAACAGCTTTTGATGAAACCACATTTTGGGGCTAAAAAAGTTAGATATGTTTTACTGACATAAATCATTTATTAATTATTCATAAGTTGAATTTACACTATGGTCAGAATCAACCACATTACTTTGAATACTGATCTAACTATACAATCAAATTTGGGAAATAACACACATACATACATACAGATAATTATTGAATTACTTTCACATTCACTGTAGTTGTATTGTCCACATTGTACCTTTAATAGTCTTAAAAGAATGAGACCTCCAGCCCAGAGTCACCAGTCCTGTAGTTCTTTACTCTGCTTTTACAAACCTAAGCTTATTAACATCATGTAAAAAGTTCACTTGTTAATGGGATCCAGTGTGTAAGAGTGGAGTTAGATTTCAAATGGACCAACAATTGCGGATTGAGAAACACTGTTAATATCAGAAACGTGAAAAAACAAACAAACTTAAAGGTCCAGTGTGTAACATTTAGGAGGATCTATTGGCAGAAATAAAATGTCATATACATTACTATGTTTTCATTAGTGTATAATCAACTGAATATAGGAATGTTTATATTTTTGTTATCTTAGAATGAGATAGTTGTCCGCCATGTTAAACCGCCATATTTCTACAG